AGTGTTGCTCAGCAGACCCCCGGGGAAATACTTAGGTGGAGTTGTTACAGCAGCAGGGGCCCCATACAGCCAAAAGCAAAACTACCAACAACGACAAAATCTTAGAAATCTTCACATGCACAGTAAGCAGTGTTCATAGAAGGTGTTTTCTCCAGTAGATTCTTCCTCCTGCCTCCTTCTCTTCCTAACAGTTCTCAATTTCCCTACCCCATGTGGGTCTCAGTTTCTGCGAACCTTTGGAATGAGTCCTGCTAATGTCACGATGTGTAGCACCTGAACTTTGTCATCTGTTTGATGACCTCCTTGGTTGGAAATAATCCTGCTTCTTACCCCATGGGGATTTTGTGGGAGTCAAATATTAGATGTGAAACTGCTTTACTAATTTTAAATTTCTACTGAAATATTGTCTTTTATTAATTTAACACACAAGTCTAATTCTGTGGGACTAGAACAGAATGAAAGAGTCAAAACATGTGAAAAGGTTATCTGTCATTTCAGTGGAGGGTAATCAGATCAGGAATGTAAAATTTTATATAATACAACAAAGAAGTGTTGTAAGGAAGTGCTATGTTTGTTCTAAGTGGAAAATATCAGAAAAAATAATACTGCATTTTTAAGATAACTATCTTTGGTCTTATTAAGATGATCAATCAAGAGACTACTTAGAAAGACAAAAATCACCAGAGCATGGCACTCATCCTCAGATGAAGGTTATGCCTTTACTTTGATCTCTGTATTAAGGTGGCAAAAGCTCAGACTTCAGGTTTACTAGAAATGTTTTCTGAATAAGCTATGTAAGAACACATATGCTTTTGCATGCTATGTCTAATTCCCAGTTTCATATTTTGCCAAAGCTGTGATGATCTCTCCATTCACATTCAGTGAGGACCATGTGGTACTCAACAAATTAATCTCCTAGATATTTTTATTTAAGGTTTTTGGTTTATTCTATTAAGTTTTAATTTGCTGGGTTGCCTTGTACTCTCTGCTGCTGTTTAGCATATCTTAATTTTCCCAAGAAGCACCTGAGT